TCGACAACGTGCTAATAGATAAGTACTCAAGTATACAATAGTACAGCGCAACTGCATGCGCGCGCGCGCGCGCGCGCGTCGTGTGTGTGTGTGTGTGTGTGTGTGTGTGTGTGTGTGTGTGTGTGTGTGTGTGTGTGTGTGTGTGTGTGTGTGTGTGTGTGTGTGTGTGTGTGTGTGTGTGTGTGTGTGTGTGTGTGTGTGTGTGTGTTAAACCGATTCGAACCGGTAGATTCCAAGAAATCTCAAAAAAACTACGAAAGAAAATTTTTTCGAATATGGTTTTTTTGGAATAACTTTTAAACACCTTTACCGATCGATTCCAAAAACTAATCAGCTCTTAACGTTCGTGAGATATCGTTGACGAAAAAAATCGATAAAGTGATTTTTTTAAATAACTTCAAAATTTCTTCTTGAATCGTTTTTGATGTAACAAACCAACTATTACTGTTAAAAAAAACTGCGTCAAACACTGCCAGTCTCGTCAAAATTGGTCAATTCGTTCGTAAGATGTTCAATTTTTTTTAATTTAAAAAAAAAGTGTTTTATCAACATAACTTCAAAATTTTACGTCTAATCGTATGGATGGTGAGCAATAAATAATATTTGTGTGTTTGAAATACAGCGTTGAATAGTGCAAGTCCCATAAAAAACGATTGATTCAATCGGAAGATATTGCAATTCAAAATTTTTAAAAAAGTATGTTTTCAACAACCACTAGATTTTTGAGCTCAAAGAACTTAAAAAAGTATAAAAGTTTGGACTCGTTCATAGGGGGAAGTTCCACGGATAGCCTTCAGGATCAACCATTTTCCAGATTTTTTTGTTTTTATCAAAATTCTTTATCATACATTTGAGAATAGTGGGTGGACTAAAAAAATTTAACATTTTGAGTATTACGGGAGTTCTTGACAACAGTTACTATAACATCGATTACTATGCTAACAATTACCTTTGCATTTGTTATCATAGCAACAGTTACCACGAATTTTTCATTTAATTATTATTCTCAATCATCATTAAATTATTTCATTGTGCTTATTATTCAATACTTTATAAGGAAAGAATGTTTTATACTGTATAAGGAAAGAAACTTCGTTCAAACTGGGTTTCTCACAACATCTTTCGATATTTTTTTTCTTTGATTTAAACTTTGAATTGTTTTTCTTGAATTATAAAATACACGTTTTGAAACATTTTATTTTATATTGCCGTCAGTATATCAAACATTGGAGCAAATACATAATTAAAGGCAAAACTTAATTCACTTACCCATTACTGTGGCTGTCATCTTGATTGTCTGTGGAAGAGCATGGAAATACTGTAGGTGGATTATTATCTTGACTATCCCTACTATTTTGGCTGAAAGAGCTACACCAGCTATTTAAGCTCATATTAGAGCTAACTGAACTCAATGTTACAACAGACTCGGTATCAAACATTGCATTATCCAACTGTGGATCACTATCATGACATTGTACTGAATGACGAACTCTTGTACTTTTATGAGTAATACTAAATTCTTCATCTTGAATATGCTTTAAAAAAAAAAACAAAAAAAAAATATTTCTTCGCCTTTACTGAGCCGATCTTGTAAATCGTGACCAAATAGCAACCAGTCATATGCAATCGTAAAGTATAAAATTTGGTGAGCGTTTAAAGATGTATGGATTGCTCCATCTGCCCACAAACTTATTCTTAACAGCGAGATAAATAGAGGAGTTCGATCCCACCCTGAAAACTTTACGAATAATTAAAGGAACTTAACGCATATTTTTCAGTCAACTCTTTAAGAACTTACCGGAAATACAATGAATCAACATTCCATTACTACTATCACTTAGGTAATTAAGTATAAGTTTGAAGTAATTTTGTGTCAATTTAACCAAATCCCATACTTGATATTGTTCCCAATTAATTTTCAGCTGGGTGGATATTATATCTTCAGGAACTCCAATTTGAGCATCAACATGTGTTTGTGACCAATCGAAAATTAAACCTTTTGCTTGATAATCATTTTCTCGAAATTCTTTGAAAAATTCACAACCAGGATACGGTAGTGAGATTATTGTGAAATCTGCATATCTTTTTTCTTTATCAACTTTTTCCGAAGAAGTCACACTAAAAAGGATTCGAAGCTTATTTAGGTCGTTTTAATCAACATGAAAAATATACAACAATAAAGCATTTAAAAAGAATTGTATTTTAGATCAAAATGGTCAGATGGCATTTTTCTCACGATATTTTGGTAAAAAGGTTTTATGAGCGAGTCTTTAAAAATTACTAATAGTGTATACAGGCAAACGTTAAAAAAATTGGCATCATATATGCAATCAACGCATAAATCACAAAAGTAATTCAAACAGAAAATGAGAATCTTATATGTCTATTATAGTGAAACCTTACAAATAACCTTATAATTGATAGTTTAAGAAGTATACAAAGAAAATCGATTCAGAAAAAAATCGAAAATTACGATAATGGAGCTCTAAATATTAACATTAAGGGCTCAAATTTCCAAAATAGCTTCTTTTTTGCTTAGATTATAATTCAAATTATACCTATTATAAAAAAAATTTAATACTTACTTCATGCCGAACTTCACTTTTTTTTTTTCAACCATAAAATCAATTATATTACCAACATTAAGGGCTTTGAGAAGTTTAATATCTTGATTCCTAACTTTATCAAATAATTGCCAATCACTTAGTGCAGAATCACTGCATCCAGCCTCATCTAGTCGCTGATGAAAAGCATTAGCAGATTCATTTCCAGCAAATAAATAATTTAATCCAGATCTCCCATAAATTTCGGGACCTCCTGATAATGTAGCTGATCTACATATAAATCTACCCTTATAAAATATTACAGGCAGTGGAAATCTTGAACGACATCTTGCGAATCTAGCATTTTTAATTAAATCTTTCAATTTATTAGAATCATATGTATTTTCATAAATAGTTTCCGTTGTACGTGGCAGTTGTGGCGGTGTATCACATATATATGGATTTCTTCGCTTTTCATTTTCAAAAATAATTAAATGACTTGGATAATGTGCACTAAGATCACCAGCGACATTATTAATTACTGAATGTGTGTAATCTAAATCCACTAACAGAAGGCATTGCTGCATGATTGTTTGGCCCTAAAAAGAAAAAATAATATCAATTTTATCGAACAACTAAATATATATTTGTATTTACCGTGCAATCAGCATCTTTGGCTTTGTACGTATTTTTTGAAAAATAAACTAGCAAATCCTGCAAGTCTTGAATAGCGATATCAGTCATGATTTGCTTATATTTATTCGATTAAATTTAGGTTTTTAATACACAAAGATACAACAGCTATTTAAATCTTTATTGAATTTGTATAACTAAACTTGTGAAAATTTGTTTATGTGGTTATATTTTTCATCTTTGATTTCAATCTTTTTTCATGTAGAATACTTTTTATGATCCAACTCTTTATGGACATGCTGTACAAAAAATGTTACATATTTTAATTATCAATATAGATTTTATATTTAATTATACATCATTGTAATAGTTTCTTTTTTTTGTACAATGTGTTACAGATCAGACATAATAATTCACAAACCATAAAAATATAAAAAGTTTGTCAAATCCAAAAGTGCACGACTCATAATGCTCATTCGTTCGATAAATAAAAAAAATAGTTAATTTTCTGAAAAAATATTGTTTTTAATTTCATTTTAAATATTACCTTACTTTTTTTTTAAATATTACTTTTGCAGTTTACTAATTTTTGTTTGTTTGCTATTTTTAACTTCCCGCTAAGAAAATCAAAGATTTTCAAAAATCGGGAAGTTATTGTTTTCACCCCGATTTGCAAAAATTGAGTTTTTATTAGATCTCGATGTTTTAAGGTCATAGGGAGCTTCCCTGACTATCTCTGCGATGTTGTCACTATGTCTGTATGTATGTATTATGTATGTATGTATGTATGTATGTATGTATGTATGTATGTATGTATGTATGTATGTATGTGTTTTTTTTTTTGAAGTTATACTTCTTTTGGCGCGTTTGGATGAGAGTGAAATTTGTGAGCTGCGCGCGCATGATGTCCCAAAAAAGCGACATGATGAAGTTGGCCACAAATATAATTAAAAATATAGACTTCTCTTACTGACTAAGTTAACTCATATACAAGCTAGTAGCAAAGTATCCAACGAAACGTTGTTATTTTTAAATTCGATAGAAATGCCATTTAATATGATATACATATATTATTCATATTAATAATCATGACCATTTTTTTTAGAATTGATTATTCTAAAAAATGGTCAATTAAATATTTTATTTGATTGTTTAGTTTTAATTCAATTTGGTAATAATTTCTTTTTAAATTATATTTTTTTCTAAAATAATAATAATTTCATGAAATAAAATATTTAAAGTAAAATATAAATATTTTAGTATTTATTATATTTAGGTATCTTCTTATTGAGTTCATAATTTCTTAATATAGACTTAAGATAGTACCTCCACAAAAAGCATATTTCAAACAACTTATAGAATTTTTTTTATCGAAAGATAAATATATTAATAATTCACCACAAAAAATTCAGATTAAGTTACTGCACCATTTTTGAGTAATTAATTTTCAAAATTGCATCTTTTACACGTAGAGGTATAGAGAGATGGTAAAGTTAGTATGAAATCTTCCGTACCACTCGAATGATGCAAATAGATTTCATACTAACTTTACCATTTCTCTATACCTCTAGGTGTAAAAGATGCAATTTCGAAAATTAATTACTCAAAAACGGTGCGGTGAATTGATCTGAAATTTTGATGGTGAATTATTTTATTTATTTATTCATGATAAATGCCAAGGCACAAACCGAATGGCAAGGTATTTAAATTACATTTGAAATGTGTATGAATATAAGTATACATTTGATTATTTACAAAGTTACTTAAAATTATATAAAATACAAAATATAGATAGATTAAAGGCTGCATTAAATTATTCAGTCGAATAATTATTTGTAATATTCGGATATAAGTTTTGGTTTATAGTTATGAATATTTAAATATTGAGATTTTTTTAATTATTTGGTATACTAAAATTTAGATTTATTAATATGATTTAGATAATAGAATTTGGTTAATAAAATTCAACATTGAGATTTAAACAAGGCCAATTATAATAAGAATACGCTTTAAAAGCCCTTGAGTTAGAATGATTTAAAATAAACTACATATATCGTAAATTATAAATTAAGATTTAAAATTTCATGAGATTTATAATTCCATAATAAATTCCATTATTAATATATTTATCTTTCGATAAAAAAAATTCCAAAAGTTTCTTGAATAATGCTTTTCGTGGAGGTACTTCCTTAGTCATTTTGTTTATCGAATTTAGTAATTCTATCCATATTTCTTAAAATGTATATTATAAACCATTTTAGTAATTTTTCAGAATTTTATTGGAAACAAAATCTAGTTTTATACTACAATATTTTTAAATCGTTTAATTCATGTAATTAATATTATTTTTGAAAAAATATTGTGTGTGTGTGTGTGTGTGTGAGTGTGTGTGTGTTTTTTTTCCCCTTTAGGGGGGGGGGGAATCCTTTTTTACGGATTCTAGGCATAGATGTTGGCCCGGATATGTGGCGACTCGACGCAGCGTCGTACTAAAACTTGACGCTGACGCCCCTACCCACTAAACCCTAAACCCCTTTCTCTTCTATCCTCTGATCCCCCATGGTACCGCCGTAAGGCATTTCTTCGCGGAGGGAGGAATTAGCTGCCGCTCTTCCTTCTGGGGGCTAAGATGTTATCTTCCTTCTAGATTCTGTCTTTTGCTCTTTTTCTCTCGATGAAACGCAGCTCTGTAAGCACTTCTGTGGCAAAAGTGTTCGTTGCATTCCAAGCAGCTTCTGAAGACAGCATTGCTTCTACGACTGACTCTGGTTGAATCCGGAGGCACAATAGTGCCTCAAGCCAAGTACACGTTCAACAACATATGTGAACGTGTAGGCGTGAGGCTACTGTGCCTCTATTCCCGAGTCAGATGTCAACATAACCTCACCATATTTTTAACTCGATTTATTTTATTACTACGTTCATAACAACACTTTATACTCACTTTAAATAGTTTAATTATTAGTCCTTTTTATAAAACACCAAAATTTTTATTGTTTTTTTCATTATTTATTGTTATCTGAATTTATAAAATTTTCGGTCCCCCGTTTTTCGATTCTACGAGAGATTTTACTAATTTCGGTCGAATTTTTTATTTCGAAGTTGGTACAGTTTAGTTCGATGCTGATAGTACACATGTTTAGTATCAGAGTTAGTCCATTTCCATTTGGCATCTGAGATCCTCTGCGGATAGTTACTCTGCTCTAGATTTCTAAGTTGGTACAATTCAATGCTCTGAGGATAATATACTACTACTACTACGGTATAGTATCAGAGTCACTCCATTTCCATTGGACGTCTGACAAAATAAGCGGTTAATTCAAATCTGAATCCATATAAAATTTTATTGCGGGTATTAGTAAAATAATTAAATGCAATTTCATTCTATTTAACGTTTTATTATTATTATTATTATTATTATTAT